ACACAAGGTGAGAACAAGTTCAGCAGATCACGGAACATCGGGGGGCCCCCTCCGTTAGTCGGTGTCTGGGCGCTGTTGGGAAGCTAGATCAGACCTTAACAAGTTTCTGGCCGATCCCGCTACACCACACAAGCTGCAGAGCGTCCTTTCGCCGCAGTCTCCGGGTTCCCAACGACGACCTGGAACGTAGACTCGCAGGTACTTGAAGTCTTTATGGCGACGCTGATCATGCACTTTCCTGACATGGAACGCCACAGCCCAGATAGCCCGTACACCCCCGCATCCATGAAGTTCTTGACGTGCTCGACATGCGCGGCTCGGAGCTGCTAGCCTGCTCGATCTCACTTCGTGCTGCATTCCATCCGCCTGCAGAAGAAAGAAAGACACAGTATTTGCAGCTCCGAAATACGTACTCGCGTTTCTCGGCTACAGATGGATAAGCTGCTGCTGCGTCAAACGTGCGTAGAAGAAAGGCTTGCAGCATTGGAGGCGAAGCCAGCATCTATTGAGCAAACGCAGCACTACACAGCAACGTTCCGAAGAACCTGCGCAAGGGCAGCCAAAGGGCGTGCGCAAACGTGTCTCGAAGAAGCTAGCAACAATTTTGTTCGAGTGGTTCACCGCTGTGCCACGCATATATGAATCACCAATAGTCAGCAAAGCAGTTCTTCATGAGTCCAGAAACGCGATGTCGTATATGATGCTTTGCTTACCTTCGGGCTTCAAGCTGGATCCAGCGTCGTATGCGTACAAGGTCGAAGTACACGCTCTGGGGGTCGAGGCGGAGAAATGCACGCTGGAATTCTTGGGAGAACAGGGCTCACAGGGCGTTGTTGTCGGCACCGTCGTCAAAGCCATGCGCGCAAATGGCTGGGCACCTGAATAGCCTAATTGACAAGTATCGAGAACGTTACTTCAAAGGCGATGTTGTCGATCCAACGCCGAAGACAGGCCGTTTCTCCGCCTAACCCAGTAGTTGGCATGCATAACAGCCGCCGTTTCTCCGCCTAACCCAGTAGTTGGCATGCATAGCAGCCAGAAAAGAAGGTTAGACTTATATGCAAGACGTACGCTTGTGTGTGATACATTCGCGCAATGATAGCCAGCCTATATAGTAAAGGGAACACACAGCACAAAGAAGTGAAGCCCACGTTGGGAATTGAACCCAAACCACCAGGCTGAAGGCCTGGCGCTTAACCATTAGAGCTCCGTGGGCACGGGGTTAGTCATGTGTTAATCAGCATCGACGGCGATACTTCCGCTCAGCGGGCATGCATGCCAAGACCGAGCCCAGCATCCATCCTAGCGCGCAGCCTGTCACGTGGCATGCAGCGAATCACCCATCCAGATCAGCAACATCACTCAGCTCAGCCCCCCAACCCAAACTCCCTGCCAACCCACCAAGCTGCACGCAGCCCAACACGTCTCCCACTACGCGGCATGCATCCTAGCACGCGGCGAGCGGTCCGACACGCATTCCAGCAAGCAGGCCAACAGTTGAAGCGCGCGGCACGCAACCAATCACGCGGCGCGCAGCCAAGCACCCGTACAGCTCCACATAGATCCCTCCCTAGGCCGCACAACACGGGACATACAACAACAACACACGGTTAGCACACTATAGGACACTATCGGCACCACGGAGCAACGTACCACAGCACTGTACTGACGTTCTCGGGCGGCGCGGCGCAGGATTGTTGGTCGGGCGCGGCGAAAGGATTCTGGCAGCACCGTATTCCTTATGTGCTTGCTGACGGAGTTGGTTTACTGACACTTGTGAGGAGCCTTGGAAGCCTAGCATGTGAAGGCCAACAGGACGTAGTCGCGTGTGCAGTAGTAACCGCAAGACCCCAAACACACCGGGTCATGCTTCTAGAACAGCCTGAAGCTCGAGATACGTCGTTTGTTTTTGCTATACATACTGTTGGTGCAACGCTTACCTAAGTATTTGTACCAGCAAAGTATAAACATTCTACAAGAGCTGAAGCGCAAAATGATTTACCTGTGGTGTAAGGAACGAAAAATACTCGAGCAGCAGTGTGCTAACCTCAACTTGCTCGCTTTAACTACCCCGGTACGTCCGCCCGGCCACGTTTTAGGCAGTCGATGCTGAAAGTGTGATCGTGCAATATACGGCGCAAATATGGGGCCCCTGTGATCGCCAAAAGGCTCAAACTTCAAGCTCTGAGGGCTATAGTATCGAACCGTTCAAGACATCGTGGCGACTTAGGTTGCAGTGAGGAATTAGTGGTATTAGGGAGTTTCAAATTACTCATAAATGAACCTCATTTTTTACCAAAGATGAGGAGTTCAATAATGACGCCGCCTCGTGGAGTTTAACGCCGAGAGTTGTTATGTAAGTGTAAAAAGGTCAGAAATCTGAGATCAGCAAAACATTTGTCCAATGATGCGTCTTCTGAGGCCCATTTTTGGACTCATCTTTGGCTCATTTTTGGTTTAAAAAATGAGGTTCATTTATGAGTACTTTGAAACCCCCTATTTTAATAATTGCCTAATATGATTTTTGTTGCCTAACGAAACATTTAGTGAAGATCACTGTAGGCTATCGCGGGAATTTGCTGCCTCAAATCATGCAGATGCATGTCAGCAAGCACATAAGGAATACGGTAAGGTTAAAAGCGGCCAAAACACTAAATACCGTTGCTACCGGAAGCAGTCCAACCGAGTTGGAACCTTTCTGGTATCCATGCCAGACACCACATTTGGAAACGTCTTGGGTTCGTAAAGGTGTGCATAAACTGTCCATTCTACCGGACACATTTCAGACCACTATACTAAATCCTATATTAAACGCGAAATCCTATATTAAACTTCAATGGTGAAGATTTTGCTCCAACAGGCGTTGTATGGGGCCTGATTTGAGTCAGGATATCTCGTGTCCTTCATCTCAAATCTAACGCCAACCTAGCGAGAATATCCAGACATATCAATTGTAGATTTTTCAAATTAATCTGGTGAATGAATGAAGAGAAATCGACAAATGTCGAGATGGCTACATTCTTGTTATTTACTTGGATTTTGTATGTTTGGTGGGTGGTCCGAAATGTGTCTGGCACGGATATGATGACCTGCGGAGTTGCTGTGTAGATTTCCAAATGGATCCGATACGGAGCTGATCAGGAAATAGAGTAGGTTTTTAAATGCTGGGTTTTGTGTGGCAAAACATAAGTTTTACGGTAGTGAGCGTATGGAATAGCGTACCTGAAGCAATTTGCAATTAGCAAACCCGAGCGGGGGCACCCGCGAAGCATGGCCGCTCGGTACTTCCGTAGGCGGGCCCCGCGACGAGTTCCTCAGCGAGCAGCCCTATTGCCATGTCCAGAAATTGCTTTTCTTCCGCGGTCTGAGGGTGCAGCCACCACAACCGTGTTCCATTTCCTGATCAATATCTGATCCGTATGGCAGGTAACCAAATGCGACTTTTCCGAGTTGGCAAGTGCTGTGGCTTCGGAAGCACCATCACTTCTCGTATAATAGCAGTAAGGTTTGCACTGGTAATTACAACCACCTCTTGCCTAGGTCGGTTTGACGCACAGCGACGTTCGTAAAGTATCAGCTGACCAGCGCTTCCGTGGGGATGTCTGTAGGATGCAAAGCTGCTAGCTCCGTTTGTGCCGACCCTGGCCAACGTCGCAATATGAGCCAGGTGACTCACTGGAGACATTGCAGCGGCCAGGACGGACGCGCCGGACTCTAATAGCAATGGCCCGTCAGCTTTCGATCCTTGGCCGGTATTCCAGCAGGTCTACTTCTGTCCAGTGCACAAGAATTTAGAGCGCCATATTTTAGGATACGTCTAAATCTATGTCCGGACCGCACCGATTAAGGGGTAGGGGTATTCGTCGGTATTTTCGTAGGATTTTACCCACACAGACAATCGGCAGAGGCCCTTAAAACCGGTATTCTCGTAGGTTTCTACGAGAGCATCACTCCGATTAAAATGGGAGGACGGATGGCATGGGCTCCAACTTACCGCCATGCTAGCCTGCTGCGGCTCGCAAGCTTCACCTCCGCTAACGACACTGCTAGGTCCTGGATTTAATACCGCGTGCTCCGCGCAGGGATGTTAAACCGCAGGCATTGACAAGGTTTGGACCCCAAGCATGCCCCCCCCCCTCTCTTGAAAGCTATAATTCCCGTTTATCAGCACAGCGAGACTCGAGTGCCGCCGGGTATTATACGCAGCCGACCACTTGCGTCAAGTGATAGTCGCCAACGCTGCAGGCGCTCGGCAGCAATGGTCGCGTAGGTGACGAAAGTGCCCTTTGTAACTGACCACGCCACACATAGTTCCTCGGCGGAGTTGAATCGCGAGTTGCAGTCCCGTTTTCTCAAGAATGTCTCACCAGCTAGCCGGATTTTTTAGGACCGCTAAAACGCCACTTCGATCGCCGTTATTGATCGCGGATGGACAAGTCTTGCAGAAGTCATCTACTTCAAATGATCTGCTACGGGCAGGGGGGTACAGTGCACTGCAACCGACTCGGTTACCTACTGTATCGACCGAGTTTTTTTGCTTGGTGTTGTAAACTAGGTAAAAGGCTCACATAACTTGCTTGAGCTGTGTAGCAGATCTTCAAGGTGCTCATCGACCCCATCCATCGACTGCATCATGGGAAAGCTGTTCAGCAAAGAACACGGCTGATCACGGGGAGCAAATCGAGTTTTTTTCCGTTGCCCCGGACAGGAAGCGCTTGTTCCGCTTGAGACGGAGGCTGCTTTAATCGAGTGCTGGCAAAACCCCCACTTGTGCGAGCGGATCTTCTCAGCACTCAGTCGGTCCATCGATATGGTGTGCTACGACGCTAGCTCGGCGCCGAAAGTTCGGTCCAAGGCAACGGCAATACCCCCAGCGTCGCGCTTTCGTGTTTGAGGCGTTGGGGCCAGCGGTGGACATCGCCTCAAGGCGCTCGGAGCCTTCGTCATCTCGCAGAGCACCTGTCGATTTAGAATGAGTTGCATTTAGAGTCCATCTGGCGTTTCAGATTCACCATCCCGCTTGGCCGCCCCCACTCACAGGTTTCAGTTCGCGAAGCCCCGGCAATCGCCCAAGCCGCGCCGCCGTCGAACACGAGGAACCCGCGCAGCCAGGAGGGACGCCGCCACACACCGAGCCGAGCACAGCAGCCACCGCCCAAGATGCCGCTGGGAGAGAAGCTCGGTCGCCCCTTCGAGCTGCTGTCGATCCTCGGCCGCAAGCGCAAGGACGAGCCGGACGAGCACCGACACCGCCTCAGCGGCCCCGAGTCGCGCGCCTACGCCAACGCCACGGGCTCGGCCACCGCCGGATACACGCACAGCCACCACGCGAGCGCCAGCAGCAGCAGCAGCAGCAGCAGCAGGTTTTACCCCGGCGTCACGTACGAGCGCATCACGCCGGCCACGCAGGCGGCCCCCGTCGTCCAGTATGAACGTCTCACGCCGGGCTCCGCCGCCGCCGCCTCAGCCTCAGCGTCCGCCACAGCCACCCCCGCTGCCTCCGCGGTGACCCACCCGTCGCCCTTGGACTACGATGCCGCGGCGCGTGAAGCGGCCTTCCCCAGCCCGGACCTGGTGCCGTCCGCCGCCGTGGCCTCCAGCTCCTTCCGCTCGGCGCCGTCGCCCGCCCTGTCGTCGCTCCCCTCTCCTGGCATGCTCACGCCGCTCACGCCCGCGGTCGGCGTGACCCCCACGCCTATAGGACGCAGTCCTGTTATTGACACGACCCGCCCGTTGCGCCCGCCGCGCCAAGCCCAGAACCTTGCGAGCCCGGCTCAGCCTCCCGTCGGCCCCGCCGGAGCGCTGTCTGCGCCCTTCTCGTCCGTGATGGAGGAGTGGATGAGCCAGTTGAGGACTCCGACGCCCGACGTGACGCTCTTGCCGTCGCCCTACGACTTTAACAAGGACACACCGACGCCCATGGACACCAGCAGCATGGATATGCGGCGGCTACAGGACGCGCTGCTGCCGACGCCCCCGCCGGATGTTCATGACCAGAGACAGCACCCGAAGAACTCGGCGTACGTGACGACCCGTGGGCCACGCCCGCTGCTCGAGGACATTGCGTCCTTGTGCCGTGATTTGAACTCGCAGGATCTTTCGGGCTCTAATAAGGGAATGCTGCCGTCGTCTAGTGGACAGATGGAAACCAAGTACACAACGCTCCCGGCAAGGCCGCTGCGTGCGCGTGAAGAAAGTATCAGCAGCGCTTATTCA